GGCACTGTCTGGAGAAGGGCGGGGTCCATGAGCTCTTTGGGGATCTTTGCAGGCACCGGTGTGGAACAGATCTCCTTACAGCATCGGGGATAAATACTCTGCTGCCTGCTTATTATACAATGATCTTGTCTCTGATTTTTTTCCGTGGGTCCTTGGGGGGTGGCGTCACAAAGGAAGTCACTGGCGGCTTCATCGGCGTGCACATAGCCGAGGCTGGTGGCGCTTCCTGGGCTGGTTTAATTTGTGTACTTCGGGATTTTGTTTTCGCAGTGATCATAAGCTCACACACGTACATGTTGAAGCATGTAATATTTATGCAGACTTGCGACAACGTCCGGAACCCCAGAGCTCAAATCCATCTCGAGCTCGGCATCGGATCCCTGAACAGATCGCTAGTATTGATGATCGCTACAGCAAGATTTAGCATGGGCCCCACAGACAGAATCCCACCTGCACTGACTCGGGGAGGCATTCCTGGTCCTGCTCCACCATCTTCAATGCCGCATCAATGCTCGCATCTGGATCCGTCGGTGATCCTGCGTATGTACCACGTGTAAGCTAAAGGCTTATTACATGCCGTACCTCATATAAAATTGCGGCCTGTCCTTTTGATTATCTTTAACCTCTACATTAAACCCTAAACACCTAAACCCTAGATCCCTAACCCTCCCAAATTAGAGCGACACTTAAACCCTAAACCCCGAATCCCTAACCTCTAAACCCTGAATTAAAGCCTAAACCTCTAAACCTGTAAACCCTAAACCGACCCTGAACCCCCAAACCTACACCCTCGATCCCGAAGCCTTTGAAACCTAAAGCAGCACACGTCATGTAACGTGAGCCTGCCTTCGGTCGACTCCATCTGCTTGATGGTATCCCGGATGATGGCTTTCAAAGCCTGCATCTTGCTGGTCCTCGCGGGAAAATAGAATTGATTCGAGATTCCATTATTTACATTAAAATTTGAATCAATATATTTCGAAACACAGCTGTAATATTCTGTGTATACTGCAATATATGTGTATTTATATATATATATATGGTGAAGTGGAGTTCGAGCTTTTCATATATGTACAGTATAAATATTTATACTGTGCATATATGAAAAGCTCGAACTCCACTTCACCATATATAAAATGGCATTGGAATGAAATGCGAATATGAGCCTAACCCCTTGAAGCCGAACCTAACAACTCCACACAATGATCTAAAGTTCCGAGCACCGGCAACGAGAAACACATATGTAGACCTGGACATCTATTAATGCATATGATCTGCGTCATGCAACCTTATCCAAATTAAATTCCGAAGCCATGCTTTAATTGCAATCTGGATGTTATATGCTGAATTTAGCAATCCGATCCTGGCACCGGCTGAGCGCTTTGCAAGCGACAGTCCATAGGCCGCCGCCCCGCGTATGGTCGCGGCTTCCGATGCCGCCCATTCCTCAATAGTATCATGCATGTACATGCAGCCCTATAAAATAAAGAATCTGCATACATATCTGAAGAATGAATCAACCCAAGCCACTCGCAGAACTTTTCGACGAATGTTGTCCGGAAAAAGCCCATAGCGCTTTGCAAGTGACATAATTATCTCCTGCATGCAGGGATCGAGTACGTAGTTATATTATATTTATTTGTGTATATGTTTTTCTAACACCTATACGGTACCTACCATATATTTCTATAATACGAGTGCTTAGAGTTAAGCTCTTCACCCAGCACACACACACACACACTCGAGTTACATGGTTGTCCTGGTGCATTGAAATCACTGGCAGTTGCGATCCGAAAGTCCCATAATAGCCAGCAAAGAAATGGAAATGCCGTTCCATCTAGGCAGCACCCAAACAATGCGACTCATCACACACACATGCATGTCACACACAGTAATCGATAGTGCCGAGCACCATCTCCGGCGTGCATACGCCGGCAGGCACAATCTCCAGCAGGAACTTCGAAGTTCCCTGCGATATAACTACCAGCTGGACATATATTAACATGTCCTACTCGCCCGAATACGCCTGAGTATTACTAACATGTCAGCCTTGAACTTCCGGAGCTCTTCCAGGCGGCTCCGGTTCCCCTCCGTCAAGAAGGTGTTCAAAATGTCCTTCCGGATTGTATCGATATATATGTGGAATCGAGGTTCGAATATGGAATTCTATCGCTGGCAGTCCTCTAGCAAAATGCGTTGCAAGGACCGGGGCAAGCAGACTGGAGACGACGGTTCCGGTGCCATATCGTTCGTGTTGTCGACCTGAAAATCCAAGCCGGCATGCATGTCATGCGTACCCCGTACCCTGCATGGGTCTGTGATCATATATATGCCCAGCTGCGCTTGCACAGGCGAAGCGTACAGCAGCGTATGTGCTGAGCCAAAATTAAAAGCGCTTCGATACGAATATATGTGCAAATGCGTGCAAGACCGCATATCACAAGCTGGGGAATCGGTGCACCTGTCAGGGTCCATGCTGCATCCTCCGGAGGGATATCCACATCACCAGTACCGCCAGTACTACTAGTGCTGCCGGCAGCTGCACTCGAGCTCGCAATACGACGAGGTGATCGGGAACGTTCCGCAGGGCCACGGCCCCGGCTGCCAGCACTAGCCCCGGCTGCACCAGCCAGTCCTGACATTAATACATTGTATGATAATTTACGTTAACACGTGTTCATATTGATCGATGCATGATAGGGATCGGGCGTTCTGCTTCGAAAATTCGCCGGCGCATGCATCGGGTCGCACACCGGCCATGTAGTGAAACGTGTACCAACGGTATCCATGATTGTAAGATCGCACAAATCTTGGGGTATGCATGAGGGGGTAATAAATTAAATTATTTAGCGGGTAGATCTATTTCTAGCTGTGGATCGAAAACAAACCCGATCAAGCAATAAGCTAGCCGCAGCAGGCCAGGACGAGTCGTCGTACATTTAATAATAAGAATATAAGTATTATTGGGATATAACGTACAACACGTTATACACCGGAAACCAAACCTTATACTTCCCGGTCAGCCGTCGTACAAGAGCCCTGCGGCTGCAGCTGCGGCATCCGATCCTGATCATAATGCTCCTGCAGCGCATGGACTCTTTCGAACTTATAGCTAGCTTCGAAATTCGAATTCAGTGGCCTGTGTATATATAGAGTTCGAGATTAAGGTTTTAGGGTCTCAGGGTTCACGGGTCCTAGATATAGGACCCATGAATCCTGTTTTTTTCTCATTCCCGGGCATTTGTCCCGTCGACGTGGGACGACACGAACATACGTATATATATACACATACACACATGAGTGTATATACACATATATAATATATAACATATATGTATATATATATATATGTCTATATACATATATATACATATATATATATATATATAGCCCAAAGGACACAAATCACGCTGATCACGGGGCACGTTGGCGAATTCTGGACACATGCGTAACGTTAGCAAATTTTAGCATCACAAGCTACGTATGCATTTCTAGCTGACTCGGAGCGTCCGGGATCCGGACATCCAGAGATATCAGACCGACTGCCACGCCAGCAATAGCGCTGGGCTCTGAAAACTAGCGTGTACGGGAAGGAACAACTTTCGCAGACCCTCTCGCCAGGCACAAGTTTGAGAGCTTGAAGTGCAAGAAGAGCACGTGTGGCCAACGAGTCTGGTAGAGGAGCAGGATCACGAACGACGCTATATCTTACTGTTGATAAGAATTCGGTCCTGTTCATAAAGTCCGCAACGAGGATAGCGCTCCGGAATGCGATCCAATCTACATAAGAAACCATGTTGTGTCAAATACTTTGGAAATTGAGCTTGATAGCTGCAGGTGTGGATGTGTAGTTCAGCACGCCATGATCATTTTCTAACACAGTGCAACAAAACAACAGCGCGTCAATACACTATGGTATTTTCGATGCATCTGAAGCCTTTGTCCGCTGATCTCCACTGCAACCATTCGGTCTAGCGCCAGGCGTCTTAAAATGTGATATCCCTTTGTCGTATTTAAATGAACGCAAATCATAAATTTTCAATCGTGTACTCGCCCCAGGGACTTCATAGACGCACTCACGATGCTCTGCTACGAAAGTATAGCTACTGTTTTTTCTACTCTTCGACGTCCATTACGTCAATCTCCATTTCTAACGCCATTTCGAATTCATCTGGAACGTGGCCCACATCAGGGAAATCCTCATTCACGTTGTCGGTGTGGTCGCCGAAGCCTGGTAAGTGAGAATGAAAAACAAAGTATGAAGATAAGATCGCAGTGCCAAGATACTATGAGTGAAGATTTCCTACGATGTTATCTTATACTTACAACGCGAGCGGCCTGCAAAGTCAGGGTTCAGAACTGCTGTAGAAGATGGAACATCACCGCGTGCACTCTTACTGGAATGCGACGTGGTTGCATCAGCAGCAGCCACATGCGGACGTTTCTTTGGAGATGGTGAGGGGGTATCCAAGTCGATTGCCTGAGGGCCACTCTCCTTTAAGTTGCGGAAGGCGTGAATGACCTTTTCTTTCTTGAGTTTTGCGAGAAGAGCTTGTTCCGGAAGAGTAGCAGGGCGAGATTGCTCAGGATACCTTTCTATTTCATGCTTTTAGTGAAACCCTGTGGCAGGAAAACAAGCAACCTATCTAACTATTTAAAATATCGGGCTATGCTATGGAAATAACTTATGAGGAATCTAACTTTACATGGAAAAGCATGTATATTCAAAGACAAGTACCGCACTTTCCCAAATAATCTACCCCTGGGCCGGTAGATGGTGCAACCACGAGGGATACTCTCGCCGTTTAGGAGACGTCGAAGAAGTTCCTGTGACCACACGGAATCCTCATGATAGGACGGGGGAAGTTCGTGAGCATGCGGGTTGAGCTTGTAGGCTTTTTAAGATCTCGTGCTGGGATTGGACGAGAAGATCTTTGGGCTCGTTGTCTCAGGGAATGAAGCTCACACAGTCTTTGGCCGTTGCAGCAACGCGATGATAATTACACGCCACTGTCTGAAAGGACAATGAAATGGGTGCGTGCTAAAATGGCATCGAGGTCTTCTGCTTCGTCCACGGCACTGAAGGAGGGAGTGATCAATTTGATGAAATCCTCATGAGAGATATGCCGGCACTTGGTCGTGTTCATGTTGGCGAAAGCTTCCTTATCCACGCTGCGGTCATATGGGTTGTTGCAGGCATGGCGGCCCGCACCTTGCTCGAAGTGTGCCGATGAATACCTTGCCCAGACTGTGGCATCCTCTTCCTAAGTGTCTATGTTATTATGTTGATTCGGCGATTCTTGGAAATGCAAAACTGTATCAATAAATAAGAAGAAAATATATCAAGCCACGGATGGATTGAGAAACGCCTTGAGGAAGGATGCGTCCATCCTTTGCAGCATGCCGTCATCGAAGACACCTGGTTTAAATCTGGTGAGGGGTTCCGCTTTAAAGAAGTCCACGTGTTTCGCTGTAAGGATGGAGGGAACCAAGTCTGTGCTGTCTGCCAGGTCAATCTCGTACTTGGATTGCGTGAACAGGACAGTCTTTGAGCCCAAGGACTTGCCTGTACGGGTTCGTCCTATCCATGTGATAGCATGTTGTCGCAGCGATAGAAGCATCTTGCTCAGAACGTTGTCCAAGAACCAGGGTGTGAATGACTTTAAGGTAAACGGCCAGTGCTCGATCGTCTTCGCGTTTAGTTTACCACGCATATGATTGTGGAGCGCTTCCTTTACCTTACCCTCGGACCAAGCCTCAATTTTGCCACCACGGGTGTTGATCTGCTTATCAGTCCATTCCATGAACTGATTGCGGTTATTGGCCTTGGGACCAAACTCGCGGATGAACTTGTAGCCCTCCTATCTGGCTTGCTGATCAATAGAAATTTTCCTTTCGAACTTCGGCTTGATAAGCCAGTGAAGTAGTTTCTTGCCACCCATTTTGTCAAGCATGAAATTAAAGGCCCGTGAGAGCAAGCCGGGTGTGATTACCCCAATCAATCCGCAAAGGAGTACCATGACACATCTGGACACAATCTGAAGCTGAGACCAGGTACACATGCTTGAAGATGCGAACATAGGATCCATCCGTATCTCCTCCGGGAGGTGGCTGTGCAGTTTGTATGATGATTTGCATGCTGTACGGCACGGAGGGCTCTTTCTTCAAATTGAAGGGCTCAGGGAGATTGGAATATTTGTTCTCGCAGCAAAACTTGTAGAGGTTGTCAAATATGGTGACGGTGACCTCGAGTGGGTGATGCATGATAGCATCAGCAAATTGCTCGAATTGGGTGGCGCTGGAATCGAGATGACGAACAGGTAGATCACTGATGGTCATTTCCCCCGTTGTTCGGTCTGAACGCAGGGGTCGTCTTTCTGGACCCTAGAGCTTCATACCATTTACTTGCCCAACAGCTTCATCAAAATTCATGCTACCGTCTTGACCACCTTCATCTACGCGGAAGCTTGCCATGGTAGGAATAGCTACAGACTACACGTAATAATTACGAGATTGCATAAGCGAGCAGCGAGAACGCTGCGAAGATTTCAATTCATACACAGACGTGTAGAATGAGTGTGATGCGATGTAATTGGAAAATGCAGTTGCGCTGGCACGAGGCGCACTTCCCTTTTTCGTCGTGAGCGTGTGAGTGAGAACTGTTCTCTTGTGAGACGCATTGAATAGCTTAGCTAATCAATATCAACAGATCCTCACATGTCACAAGCTCCTGCGTGCAAAGCACAATCGCCGCTAGGCGGCAATGCCATTCCGACTACAAAAAAACAGATCAAATGTGTGATGCTCCTGGCACCCTCTCCCGCCCGACACATCATGCCCTGAACAAGGACTGAAAAGCTCTCAGCCAGAACGCGAACGAGAACATCGCAGCTTGCATGCAGTCCTAATCACCTCGCTTCTTTCTCCCTCGCTCAACGACAGAAGAACGTGCAGCCTCACAGCTCCGTACACCCGATCTGCAGCTCCGAAGACACAGGAAACCTCACTGCGGCACCCACATGCCTGCCTGAGACATGAGTGACCGAACCGAGGAGCCGACCAACAAACGACCGAAGACCAACGGCGCCTGCGAGGCTCGCCATGTTCCCACGCACCGGCGCCACATGGCGCCACGTTTCCGAACAACGCTGTGCACCTGAATTGTTAAGGAAGCCCCGCCGCTTCTGCAGAAAAAGCCGCCAATGGCAATGGCGCACCGCCAGGAGCCAACACAAGCGCTGGTGGTAACACGCCCGTGGATCCCGCAGATCTTCGAAAAAAACAAAACGTGGGAGATTCGAGGCACCAACCTGGCGAAGCGAGGGCGCTTCGCGCTGGGCGTCAGCAAAAGCAACCTGCTCGCCGGAGAAGTCGACTTCGTGGACGCCTTCCCCGTCGGCATCTGGCAAAACGGAGGCTGGCAACCGTTCAGTGATTGCCGAGAAGACCAAGAGAACTTCCTTCTCCGACCAGAAAACCTGGCAAAGCACCAGGTCGACCCCGATTCCATCCCATACCAAATCGCTTATGCCTGGGTGATGGCAAATCCACGGCGTTACACCCCCGAAAAGCCATCCCGCCCCATCAGAGGACCAATATGGCAACCTCTCAACCAGACGAGCCAAAGCAGCCCCAAGGAGAGCGACTCCGTCGGCAAGAACAAACGCAAGGCTCGACGCCAGAACCACACAAACAGAGCAACGGACCAGAGCCTCGGCAGGAACCCTGACCGACAACGCGCGCAAGCGTGGCATCTCGTAGACCCGCAGAGAGAGAATGACACAGACAGAGAAGCCGGACGATCGACCAGCCCGCAAACATGAAAAAAAGGACCGTCGCCGCCTATCACAGCCTGCATGCTCTGCAGACAAGACTTCGCCGACCTCCTGCGGCAGCCAGCTTAGCTTCGAATCAGTCTCGGCTCAAGGGAAGCAAGAGAAGAACTTGCCGCCGACAAAAATAGCAAGTCCTCCCGCAAGAGAGCCGCAGCCATGTCGCCAAAAACCGATGTCGCCGATCCCAACAAGGCCGACGATCTCGAGCAGACCCAGGTGCGACCCAACACACAGCTCTCGTCCCGTGCCTTCAATTCCCCCCTGTGCTGTTTCAATCGCCCGACAGGCTGAACGCACCTTCCGGAATCTGCGGGGCACCCTTTCCGAACATATGTTGAAGGCATGGTGCGACGCCTACGCAAGATCTGCAGTCTACGAAGACATGTGCAGCCCTGCGGATGCGACACACGAAGAAAGCGGGTTGCCCTCCGAAGAAGTGATGCAGCGACTCTGGGACGAAACGGTCCCAGCACAGCACAGAGCAAGCAAGAATTTCGACTACGGCATCCTCGAGCTGCTCTGGCCCCGGCAAGACGCGTCCACTCTAGACGACCTCACACGCCTCGTGCTGGCCTTCGCGGCCTTGCAAAGTCGGGGCGACCGTCACACCACTCGGCTGCAGATCGACCTGGTGTGTAGCGCAGGAGCTGGTGGCACGGACAACCGGCAGGCATGCAGCCACACAGCACGCCTGCAATACAGAAGCCGCCTCTGGGCGGCCAGTCAAATCGCCGACATCCTCATGCAAACCCTCTGAGACAGCGCTCAGCACGGCAGAGGGCTACAGAGCATGACCGATTCGACTCCGAGCACAAGACAAAAAAAAACACCAGAGTCCCGAGCAACACTCGAACGAAAGAGTCTGCATGCCTTCACACCGCAAGTCGTTTGCGTGCTTCAAACGTCTCAGCGATCAAACCACTACAAAAGGCTAGCCACCGATCCGTGGAATGTGCATAAGCAACCCGCAAAGCTACGAAAGAACCAGACAAGCATGCGTAGATACCAGAACCACTAGTCCGGCAACAGCCAGAAATCGAAGACGTGCTCCACCTATGGCCCGCTCCCCCGCCACGCTCAACCGACACTTGTACGCCTTCGAGCTGTTCGACTGCACACGTGAGCATGTCGTTCACAGAAGCGAAATGCCTGCAGACAGGCCAAGCCAGCCATGGAGCAACATCGAGCAGCGCAACGCCGGGCCCCGCAGCCGACTCAACGATCGAGCCACGTCAGTTAACCGACGCCACGCCTGCAACAGGCATTGACCGAGGAGATCCGCATGACAGCGAGCCAACGACATCGGCCTCCCATCATCGTCTACAAGGAGGCACGGCCGACCAAAAAAAATGCAGCACACAATATGCACGACAGCAAGAAAACCTGACGTGAGCCGAGGCCATCCATGGGGCGTGGCCGTCATCCATGGCACAACAAATCCAGCTCTACGAACATAGGCTCAGGCAAGCGCTGCAGCGAAGAAAAAAAAAGTATGGCAGCAAGCGAAATCCCACACACCAAGCCAGGATGCTCCATCTACACGGGGACGTACTCGAGCTGCCAAGGGCGCCTGCGCCCGAGTCGGTCCGCATGTCGCATATAAAAAATAAACATCGTCAGACCTGAAGGGACAGAATGACGTGGAAAGAAGCAAAGGACATCGTGCGCGCCACTCGCGTGACCAGAACCGCAGCACAAGTCAGAGTGCTCGCGACCCCGAGGTGCACCTTCTCGAGGCCCGCGACAAGCACAGCCAGCGCCGCGCTGACGGCACCTCGCAACGGCACTGCCCGCTGATCTGCGGTCGACTTGCCAAAGTGCTGTGCGAAATGCTCCAAAAGGCAAGAAAAAAGACACAAGCAAAGTCTAGAGAAGAAAGAAGAAGGACCTCACGAAACGCAGATTCAGAGACGCCGGCGGCCTCTTCTGACGTGGCTCAGACTTTGTGCAGACTCGATACAGACTCAAGCCCAGCCGACGGCAACAGCCACACAGTAAAAAAAAAAACGAAGCCAGGAACAAGACAAGTCACCACAAGAGCATAAAAAAAAAAAACTCGCGCCGCATGTTGCACTTTCGGGCCGTCTCAGGAAGACAGCTCTGGAGCTGTCCACTGTCGGACTGCGCCCCTCTTTCACGATGCTGCCAACCCAGAAAATCTGGGTTTTGGCACGCAGCAAAGAGGGCCTGGTGCTTCACAACCGACTTCTGACGGGCAAGGAATCCTTGAGGTTGCAAGGATTTCCAGAAGTCTCGGAGCTGCAGGTGACTGACCACCAGCAGCAAGACCTTGGTGGCAACGCCTTCGCCAGCACAATTTTGATGGCATTGCTTCTGTCGCTATATTCCCACCTTCCGCAATACATGTGGACCGACAAAGAGCAAGAAGAAACGGCTGCAGCTGATGATGTGGAGCGGTTGCTTTGTGATATAGACGACCTGGACTAGTTCTAGCGCCTCCTGGCAGCAAAGGGCCGCGTGTACGGCTGACAGCCAGTTGGACAGCAGGGCGCACTCCCGTGGCGCGGCGGTGGCATAGCTGCCCCCACTGCCTTGGCTGTGAAGCTGTGAACTCGCCCTGTTTGAGTTTTTGGACGTTTGAAGGCCTGTAGGGCCGAACCACGAGCACCACGTCTTTACACAGCTGAGTGCGAAAACCGGTGAGTGGGTGACGGTGCGTGCTTTGATTGAGCAAGTGAGCAGCTTGACAGGCCGGCTGTGGTACAGTGTTCCGACGTCACGTTCAGTTATGTTATGTTATGTTCAGTTCTGTCATTCTGTCTTCATGCTTGGGAACTCCGTGTGACATGTGACATGTGACATGTGGATGCTTCCATGGGCTCAAGTCAAAGTGGCCCCAAGTTGAACTATCTATCAGTCTATCAGTAGTGAAGTCAAGTCTTAGGAGTCTGACAGACGTCTACAGTCCTCTGGAGAGAGCCTGAAACGCAGTAGGTGGTAAGACTAGGCTGACGAGAGTTGCCTGGCCCTGGTGAGCAAGTGCGGACGGGGGCCGCTGCGCTGAAGTTGGCTGCGTTGTTGTTGTTGTTGTGCTCGGCTGCCAGCCTGTTTTGTGCTCAGCTTTCAGCCTGTTGGGCACTCGGCTGTCACCTTGTTGTGTGCTCGCCTGTCTCTCTCGGCTGTCAGCCATGGACGAGGACTTGAAATCCGTCGCCGGCCGCTCAGAACGCTCAGAGGGGGCAAACACTGCTTCGACAGCTCTGTGTCAAAACTCCGCCGCCGGGACGGTGGTAGACGGACAAGTCTTCTTGAAGGTGCGCAGCTGCATCGCTTGCGGTCGCAAGAACTGCGACCTAAACGAAATCAGGGCAGGCTTTTTGTCGAAAAGCCGCTTCACAGTGTGGCATAGAGGCACCCCAGAGGATCCTCAGTCCAAGCACGACAGGGTTTGCCAGCTCACGTACCAGCACGGCGCCTTCGGAGACGAATCCATCGAAGAGTTTGTCAACAATCGGATGAAAAGAGATCCGCAGCTGCAGGCCGAGTTCATAGCAGCTCGAGGTGCCATGCTGGAGCTGCTCAACGAAGGCAAAGCGCGGTTCAGGGGCAAGACAATGGACTCCGCCAAGCAGCGCCTGGAGCTTGCCAGAAAGAAGTCTGTGGAGGAGTTCAAGGAGGCTTCGACTGAGGTGGTGACGGGCTACGTGTGCTGGGACCGGGCGCTCTTCGAGAAGGAGCACCCAGGCCTCATAGAAAAGAAGGGTTTGAAGGTGGCGAAAAAGGTCATAGACGGAAAAAAACGGGAGGTCGTGATGATCAGGAAAAACCGCGAGGGCATCTGGGACGTGAACGTCACCGAGAAGACAGGTGTTCGACAAATGGAAGAAATCGACAACGGCGAGCACGAGATCCATGAGGGTCAGCACAGCTTGAAGTTTTCCTCCTCAAAGAAGCGCCTGCACAACGCACTTGCCGAGAAAGCGAACGAGTCAAGCGTGCTTGCGGCTGACAGCCAGGAAGACCTGAAGGACAAAGCGCTGCCGAGGCTGGCTGAGTCTTCGGACGAGGACGGCGACTACGGGGTGAGGAGCACTTTGCTGGACGAGGGCGATAGTCCGCCAAGGAAAACCCAGCGGCCGAACCCAAGCAGCGGCAGTGGTGCCAACTTGCCTGCGCCCAAAAACAAAGCCAGAGGCGGACAGCAAGCGCAGAATCCGATTCCTGCTGGCAGCAAGTTTCCCGATTCTGCTGTCAGCAAGCATCTGTCAAGTGAGAGGCGGGAGTCTCGAGAGCAACCTCCAGGACCTACAGACAACAAAGCGGAGACAGCCGGCCGAGGCCGGCCGAACAAGTTTAACAACAAGACGCCGGTGGAAGTCCTGGAGTCCAGCGGCCTGGTGGAGGTGAAGACTTGCCGGCAGAGCGTGCAACTTGCCAGCAACAATTTTTTCTGCTCAGAGTCTTGGAGTCTCAGTCCCAGTCCGAGTCCTACTTGTATCTGTAGTCTGCAGTCCGTGGTCCGTATATATAATTTACATAGAGTCGAGTCATACAGAGTCATCATACAGTCATACAGTCATGCGTTGAGTCATACATACAGTTATCTTGGGGCATCATCCAAGGGTGGACTTCTTGTCGAGAGACATCTTGAACAAGCTTTGCACAGATGTTGAAACAACGGAAGTTTACAAGAAGACGGTCAGCGTCAACGAAGTTGATATACCTTTCTTTGGGTGGGGCAGCGAGGTAACGAGCGGTTTTCCATTTGTCCAAGCTTTGGTTGCTGACATTCCAAACCAACAACAACAGTTCTGAATCTTTTGTATGAAATCGTCATGGAATTTACATGATGACTTTTGTACTTTTTTATGGAACAACGTCCGTTCCTTCATGTCGACATGATTTCACTTGTAAACTTGTACATGCTTTGAAGAGAGTGCCCGTGCACCGTTTTCGCATCAAGCTCGGGCAATCGTATTGCGAACTTTTTCTTGGTGGGTCCAGCCATGGAAGGCAGTACTGCTTCCAGTCGCTTTCTTTGCTGTGCCGAACATTACGATGTTGTACGGCTAGTCTGGATCCACATGTCTCCAGCTGATCGTTTTTACTTTCTGCGTGTCAGCTGGCGTCTTCGAGCTTGCTTCTTCTGCGCTCAACCTTAGCCAATGAACCATCAGATGCCATTCGAAGCTTCTGAGATGGAGGGGGGTGATTCGGCAGAAGCTCCTTGGGATGATGCGGCAGGTTCGTTCGGCTTAGCTGAGGAATCTGATGACTCATGGGCTAATCCGTCTTCTGAGCCGGCTGCGGCCGTTACCTCTATATCTGCTCCGATGACTCATTCCCAGCCTTCATCGTCATCGGGGGTGCGATCGGAATTGCAGATGGGTCATGGTCAGAGAATGTCTTATGAGAATTTCTTGGCATCGGCCATAAGCAGGAGCATCTCCGAGTCTGCTCCGAAGTTTCCGTGGGAGCAGGGCATTTGGGCTGCTCTGCCGTCTCATTTGAAGCCAACACTCAAGCATCACTCTGTGGGAGTCGGAGATCTTTTTGTTCCTTCTGCTCAGCCGGCTGTGATGGCCCCGACTTCCATGCCTAAGCACTCGTATCCGGACTTCGTCAGGAAGAGGCTTCGTCTTAGCAATCTACATCGTGATGAGTCTGAGGTCCGTGCCTTGCAGCTGAGAAAGCTTCATACCATTGTCCTTCAGGACCCTTCTTCATCAGAATTGGGTTGTGCCTTGGTCAACGCGGCCGGGGCCCTTCAGGACGAGGAAGTGGTGGCCCGCAGCTTCCGCGATGCATTTGTTTCGAAGAGCACCGGCACTCTTTTAAAGCGAGTTTCTTCTTTGTGGAGCTGCTGCTGCTTCCTCAACGACAAAGGGGTTCCTCCTTTGGATTTCCAGGAGGAGATTCTTTATGAGTACCTGAGCCTTCTTAGGGAGCAGAAACGGGGAGCCACGGCCGCCTCGTCGGTGCTCTCTGCCATCAGATTCATTCATGGGGTTGTTAAGATCAAGGGTCTACCGAAGGAGATCGAGTTTTCATCGCGGTGCGAAGGTCTGGCTCGTGGGGAGATGGCTCGGAAGAGGCCCACCAAACAATCCGAGGTCCTCACGGCTGACCAGGTGTGGGCCCTCGAGAAGCACGTGGTTGAGTCTGCCCCCAGCTTGGATTCGTTGATAGGGGGCCAGGTCCTTTTCGCCCTCTACTCGTGTGCTAGGTGGGATGATTCTCTCCATCTGGCTGATATCTCTCTTTCGAGTGCTGGTCGCATCTACTTGGTAGAAACTGCAACTTCAAAACACAAGACTTCGCATGCTGCACGTGACAGGTCGATTTTGCTCCCCCTGATATGTTTAGGGAGGGGCCTCTACCATAAGCCGTGGGCGGATGCTTGGTTAGCTTCGCGCCGTCTCTTCGGCCTCGACTCGACGGGCCCTGCTTTGCCCACTTACTGCGAGAGGACTGGCGAATTCGGCAAGGCGCCTATGTCTTCCACCGAGGCTACTTTGTGGCTTCGCGACCTCTTGTGCAAGGCGGAATCGTCGCCCAGCGAAGTCGAGGGCATCACATCTCATGGTTTGAAGGCCACCCTTCTCTCATGGATAAGCAAACATGGAGGGTGGAGCGAGCGTGACCAAAAGCTGATGGGCCACCATTTCGATAGGGAGTCCAGGTCTGTGCTCATCTACAGCAGAGACAGCTACACTCCGCTCGCCGTCCAGACTCGCCGCTTGTTGGACAAGATCCTCGATGGCTCCTTTTCTCCTGATCGCGGGAGGGCTCGCCGTGTCATGGAGCTTCTAGGTGAGACTTCAGGCGAAGAGGAGGACCCCGACTTAGGTGAGTACGTACCTTCTGAGTCTGGATCCGAGCCGGACTTGAACGACATTGATCCCTCGACAGCTTTTGAGCCGAGTGACCGCGTGAAGGAGATCGCGGTCCCTGAATCGTTGGCTTCGGTTCCTCGACGGCACTTGTATGTCCACAATATCTCTGGGATCATGCACGCAAGTTTTGACCTGCAGAAGCTTTTGTGTGGCCGCCCCCTCAATCGTCATTACTCCTGCTTGGAGGGTGTGACTTCGCAAGAGGGAGACGTGCAGGCCTGCAAGCACTGTAGCGTAGTTTTCTCGAAGGACTGAGATTCGGTCAGGAGCCTAGTTCGAAAATGTTGTGCACATTTTGATCTGACCGGCGCGGGCTTGCTCACGGTGCTGCTCGTACTCTTGACGTGTCCGGGCCCATCAATCTTTGATGAAACACTGCCCGGCATCGTGTCGTTCCCAGGCAATTGGATTCGCTGGGATCGTGCCATCGGAAGGGGACCTAATTCCCTGGCAAATACAGCGGAGGGGGTTTCACACCGTGGTGAAACCGTGCCCCCTCCTTCGCGCTGCAGGAGCTGTGCCATCGGAGGGGACCGAGTTCCCTGGCAAATACAGCGGAGGGGGTTTCACATCGTTGTGAAACCGTGCCCCCTCCTTCGAGATGCGGGAGCTGTGCCATCGGAGGGGACCGAGTTCCCCGGCAAATACAGCGGAGGGGGTTTCACATCGTGGTGAAACCGTGCCCCCTCTTTCGTGTTGTGGGAGCTGTGCCATCGGAGGGGACCGAGTTCCCTGGCAAATACAGCGGAGGGTGCTCGTCTATGACGAAACCGACTATCCCTCATCGTTTCTGGAGCCTCGCTGTCTGCGAAACCAAAGCTTCAGCATCGTGTCGTCTCCTATGCTGTGTGTGACACGCCCTGCACGCCTTCAGTGCGCTTGGCCTGGCATGTGTCATCCATTGAGCCAAACTATGGGCAGCGGCGGCTTACAGCGACCACATAGCTGAGCCATGGCCACCTCCGAGTTGGACTCAGCTGTTGAGTTCAAGCGGCGAGCTTTGCAGCTCGGGGTTTCGGCCACCAGCGTGGATGCCTTGATAAGTGCTGGCTTCACAACGTTTGGGCAGTATGCTTTCAGTGTTCCGTATCAGCCCGGAAATGGCGATGAGACCCCTTTGATCGATCTCCTCACCACTGTCCTGAGTGGAGCACCGGATGCGGGGCAGCTTTCGTGCCTCCGCCGCTTGTTCTGGGAATCTCATGGGCTAGCCATTCGTGATCTACGGCTCAGGCAGGAGCATGGGGCCGAAACAGTTCTCAAGAAGCTCCCTACGTCGGAGCGAGTCGCTCGGTCCGAGTCCCAGCGAGCCCGTCTATCAGGATTGACTTGGTCCCCGGAGACAGAGCCTTCGCATCAGTTAGTGGATCGCTTCGTGACCATGGTGGAAGAGCAGACAGTGACTTACATTCGACCTGAGCTTTGCACCAGCCGCGCCCAGGAGTCTTTGCAAATCAAGCAGGCCAAGACCTTCGCCCTGGGATCAGACGGCCAACTCCGGGTAGCAACAAAGGGGGACGACCTCGAATGCTCCACGGCGGGCGAGTGGAAGCTTCGCATGGCCCTTCAGAGAAAGGCTCTTGCCATGGACCTTGCTGGCTTGGTGAGCTTCCAGGTTGCTGAGACTTGGCACACGTACCTCTACACCGTCCGCGAGCGCGAGGTCCCGAAGAGCATGAAGCAAGTCAGCCTTCAACAAATTCTTGATGCCGATAAGCGCCTTTGGGTCCTCCTTGCAGAAGAAGTTCGAGGGAAGATTGTATCCCGGCCGGGCAGCACGCCGACTTGTGATCCCATCATCGCGCGCCTCAGCTCCTCAAGCGATGTCCTCTCCTACCTCGTCCCTCAGCCCGAGATTCGAGTTCCTTCAGTTCCTCGGTGGGAACCTTACACCCCCAACAACGGAAAGGGGAAAGGCAAAGGGAAGGGGAAGGACAAAGGCAAGACGACGGCCCCTTCGGACTCATCGGCGAACATCTCCGTCCCAGACGGTGCTCACACGAAGACTGCGGATGGCAAGCCTCTTTGCTTCCTATTCAGCCGCGGCAAGTGTTGGGCCAAGAAAAAGCCCGGACAACGGTGCGCCAAGGGATATCACCTTTGCTGGTTTTGCCTCAAAGAGCATGCCGGCTGCGATTGCCCGAACAAGGGCAGCTGACTCAAGGAATCCTCAGATGATCCTGCTAGATCTCGAAGTCCACCTCCTCGGGATGGGAGCCAATCTTCTGACACCGCCGAATCCTTTGCGGAGAGCCTTCTCAAGCTGGATCGGTCAGTGACTGCCGAGGATGTTGTAAAGCTTTTCGATTTCCTTCCTAAGGAGGTTTATAGTGGGTCTCGGGATCAAGGCAACAGCACCGGTGGGTCCTTTACCACTGGACTCTACTGCCGGGTCAAGGTTTCACTAAGACGTAATTCCCAGCTGTATCCGAATTCGACAGCGGTCCTTTGCAAGTTCGTTCGCCAGGTTCATGCCGATCACATTTTCACATCAATCATTCTATTTGACTCCGTTTCAACTGCCATGCACGTTGATGCTTTGAACGCTCCTTGCGATAACCTGGTAGTCGGTTTGACCGACTTTTCAGGAGGCGATCTTTGGGTCGAATGGCCCGCTACGGTTCCTCGGAATCCTCACCTCAGGTATGAAACTCGTGAGTTCGATTCAGGTTCGGCCCTCGGGGCCCTCCTTCCGGTGTCACAGCATCCAGCTCTGTTCTGTGCCAAGCGCTTGCGGCATGAGACCTGTCCTTTTAAGGGTCGTAGGGTTATTCTAGTTGCGTATAGCTTGCAGGCTTCCGATCAAGCCAGTTCCGAAGATCAGGGAGCCCTGATCGACTTGGGCTTTCGCCTGCCTGGGCCTGGTGACTTGCAGAACCCTAACCCTAATCCCCCTAGGCTGCTGCATGGCACGGATGGCGCCCCTCGCGCTTCGGCCTCCTTCGCTCAGGTGTTCTCAGGTGATGGGGCTTTGGCCTCAAGCTTCAACAGAATAGGATGGCAGACCATAGCGATCGATCAACATGTGGTTCCGGGGCGACACAAGCACCAGCCCCTTGTTTGTGAGTTGTCGAGTCCCACTGGCCAGGACTTTGCTTTGCATATTCTAGAGGACTTTGGGCCGACCTTTGTGTACATCCGGCCTCCCTGTCGCACTGCGAACAAAGCCCGTGCCAGGTCATTGCCGTCTTCACACCCAGCAGTTGACAAGTGCCCGCCTTTGAGGTCGCATGACAAGCCCTGGGGTCTTGCAGACCTTAACCCTAGACAGTCGGCGCAGGTTCAAGCAGAAAATCGCCTCTTCCGCTTCTGTGCCAAGGTTCTCGTGTGGGCCCTCGCTAAAGGGGCCTTCGTTTGCATTGAGAACCCTGATGGCTCCCTGTTTTGGAGCTGCCTTGAATCTCTTCCAGAGTTTCAGTCTTGTAAGGCCTCCCTGGAGGCTTTCTGCGGTGACATGTGCATGCTTGGAGGTTCTAGGCCAGCTTCGATCAGGTTCCTCACCAACATTTCTGCGCTTCGTTCACTTGTTCACATGTGCCCCGGAGTGGGCGACGGGCACAAGCATGCCCCCTTTGGGTTTTTGTGCAAAAACGAACAACACCCTTCACAGTTTGTGCAACTTGTGATCCAGGCTTGTTGTCATGAGATCTCTTTCACTCCACCTCCTGCCCTGGCTCGGCCAGGCGATGAGGTGCGACAGACACGTAAGTCTCGTCAGCTTATGCCTGAGTTTTCCAGCATCAAGTGGCTGCGTCGTGATGACTTGCCTAGCTGCCCTCATAAATGCCTCCGGCCGGAGCAGGGGGCCCATCGCGGGGCCTTCAGCTTTTCTGAGGGGTCTTTTGAGGGTCTTTTGGGTTCGTCGGTTTCTTCTGGGCCCCCTTCGGTTTCGACTTCGGAGGTTTCTGACAAGATCCCCATAGGCATTTATGCGACTCCTGAGGAGTTCGTGCAGCGAGCTCGTGCTCTTCAACACCCGATGGCGGGTCCCAGCGTTGTCACGGACTCCTTCAAGAGAGCCCTGTTCGCCAACCTCACTAAAACCCCTGCCGAGGTTGCAAGCTTGAGAGCCTCCTTCCTTGAGCATGTGACACATTTGACGGAGAAGCTTAGCCCCGACGAGGAGGCTCTACATCGCTCTTTCTCTCCTGAGCTTCAGAAGGTTCTTAAGGGAAAACGACTTCTCCTCTTTAAGACCTTGCTGGAAGAGTACCGGTACGACGATGTTGAGGTCTGGGAGATGCTTCGGGACGGCCCTTCCTTGACTGGCACTCAGGACCACCCTCCCTATGCCGATCGTAGTTTTCGACCGGCAACAGTCAGCACCGAACAGCTGGAGCGTGAATCTTCCTGGAGGCGAAAATTTGTGACCTCCAAAACTTCTTCACCCCAGGATGCTGCTACTCTGACTTCTCTTGGTGAAGGTGAGGTTTCGGCTGGATTCATTTCGGGACCATATCGAACAACGGCAGAAGTTACTGAGGCTTTGGGAAGGCCAGACTGGATTGCGACGCCACGCTTTGTTTTGCTTCAGGGCTCCAAGGCCAAGCCCCGGGTTATCGACGATTGCAAATCTTCGGGTCTGAACTCATCCTTCTCCTCCACGGAGCGCCTTCGTCTGCAAGACCTCGACTATGTGGTGGCGATGATCAAGCTGGCTGGCAAGATGTCGGGTCGGCATAAAATTCGTATGGATCTTTCCACTGGTGATGTGCTCTGCGGTGATCGAGTACTTCCCTCCGGCTCTGAGTGGCTTGGTCGATGTGTGGATCTAGCCAAAGCTTACAAGCAGATGGCTGTTCCGCGTTCCCAGCGCCACTTGGTGGTGCTCTGCCACCACGATGAACAAGGACTGCCTCTGTACTACATCTCGGAGTCCCTCCCCTTTGGAGCTGAGGGGTCGGTGTATGGATTCGTGCGCATGAGCCGAGCACTCTCATTTCTTATGAATGAGGCCATCTTGGTGCCGAGCTCGGTGTACTTCGACGACTTCCCAGCGATATCTCCTAAGGCTTCGTCAGCATCGGCTACCGCTGCCATTAAATTCTTGCTGTCCGCCCTCGGTTGGAGGTTCTCTACAGATCCAGATAAGGCGCGAGATTTCGATTCCATTTTCGATGTGTTGGGCTGCACCCTTGACTTGTCGGGCCTGGCCGGACCTTTCGGCTTCTTGGAGGTTCGCAACAAGCCTCGGCGGATCGAGCACATCATCGAGCTGCTGGACGAGTTGGGCAGCGGCCGGGGTGACTTCCGACTAGTTCCTGTGGTACAAGGTCAGCTCAACTTTGCATCGAACTTCGTTCTTGGTCGAGCCGTCGCTCCCCTTTCGCGAGCCTTGAGCTCTTCGAGCTCCGTTGAGATGAAGAGCTTGTGTGAGCGAATTCGCGATCTCCTGCGAGGGGCTCGTCCGAGGAGAGTGTCGTGGCACTCCCCGGATGCTCCTATTCTCATCTTCACTGATGCTGCTTTCGAGAAGGGGTTAGCAACCGTTGGCGCCGTCGTCATCGACACGATGGGTGGCCCGGCTTCCATTTATGACGGAGTTCTCCCCTCGTCTTTGGTGTCATCGTGGCAACGCTATGACGACGAGCAGATCATATGCCAGGCTGAATTGGCCGCAGCAGTCTGCATCCGCCACCGAGAACGCTACCGACTGACCGGCAGAAAATGCATTTACTTCATCGATAACGAAAGTGCCCGATACGCGCTCATCCGAGCGGTATCGGGAGTTCCCTCGATGCAATCCTTGGCCTCGTCATTTCACATGTGTGATCTGGACCATCCTCACTATCCTTGGATAGAGAGGGTGCCTTCGACCTCTAACCCAGCCGATCTCCCTTCGAGGGGGCGCATCAACGACTGCATTAGGCTTCTTGAAGGACGACATGCAGGCAGCTTATGTATGCCGCCGGAGTTGGAAGACTTTGACCCGATGGGCGATTTCAAACCCCTTCGTGATGATGGGCCAACTTCGATACTGGCAATAGCTGCTGCAAAAGACTAGTGCCCGAGTGCCTATGGGGTGCTTTCGGTCGGACACTTCGTCTTGTGCATTCGTGCCCCCGCGGGGGGCTGCACACCGTGTCCTTCAGTGCCTGATGCATAGAACTCCAAACGAACTCGATGCATGCCCCGACCGTTGAAAAAGATGTGAGCCGCCTTTGCATCCACTCTCATGTTGTGCCGACTTGAGCTGTGCATTCGTCAAGACATGTTTGTATGTCAAGTTTAATGGGCTTCGCCCTTAACGCGCTACTTCGCTAGCCCCTAGGTCTTTCCTTTTGGAAAACCCCCAAACAAAGAAGGTCAGCGTCAACGAAGTTGATATACCTTTCTTTGGGTGGGGCAGCGAGGTAACGAGCGGTTTTCCATTTGTCCAAGCTTTGGTTGCTGACATTCCAAACCAACAACAACAGTTCTGAATCTTTTGTATGAAATCGTCATGGAATTTACATGATGACTTTTGTACTTTTTTTATGGAACAACGTCCGTTCCTTCATGTCGACATGATTTCACTTGTAAACTTGTACATGCTTTGAAGAGAGTGCCCGCGCACCGTTTTCGCATCAAGCTCGGGCAATCGTATTGCGAACTTTTTCTTCCCGCCCTCCTCTCCCTTGAATAATGGAAGGGGGGTGCTTTCGGTCGGACACTTCGTCTTGTGCATTCGTGCCCCCGCGGGGGGCTGCACACCGTGTCCTTCAGTGCCTGATGCATAGAACTCCAAACGAACTCGATGCATGCCCCGACCGTTGAAAAAGATGTGAGCCGCCTTTGCATCCACTCTCATGTTGTGCCGACTTGAGCTGTGCATTCGTCAAGACATGTTTGTATGTCAAGTTTAATGGGCTTCGCCCTTAACGCGCTACTTCGCTAGCCCCTAGGCCCTAGGTCTTTCCTTTTGGAAAACCCCCAAACAAAGAAGATGGCCGAGTTCTCAGGGAAGACTAGCGAGTACCAGAGGAAGGCCACCGCGCTGGAAGACAAAGTGAAAAAACGGCAAAACCGGCCATCTGAAACTGATGAGCTGGCAGGAAGGCAGAAGGAGCTTGCGAGCATGCTTCACGCAGCGGCAACAGTGTTTCAGCTGTCAGCTAAGAGATCGCCCAACACAGACAAGATGGAGCAGATCCTGACAACTTTGAGACATGAAGGCTTGGAGGCAGGACTTAAGATTCGCGAAGTTTTTGAGTTTTGTGTATGTTTACCAGTATAGGCTGGCGGCTGGCTGATAATCCATAGTCCATAGTCCATAGTCTATAGTCTATAGTCTATAGTCTATAGTCTATAACTGTAGGCTGTTTGGATCCTGCAGGTGCCCATGGCCTGGTGTGACTTGCTGCTCCAAGAGAAGCTCGCGGAATGCTTGCGCTTCAAGAAGTTGGACGAGTTTGCGCACACGTGCCAGCCAGGGAAAGGTCCTTTCGAGGGAGTTGCAGACGAGCGAGCTGACGTGATGCAAGCCTGCATTCACAAGTGCCTTGGCCAAATTTTGTGCGACCTTGTTCCGGATCCGGCTGTCAGCCAGAAGAAGAACAAGAAGGGAGCAGCAACTGCGAAAGAAAGGAACGCTCAAATCCAGACAATGCTGGATCTGGCCTTGCGTTTGGTGGAGGAAAACGCACTGCCGGAGGAGATGTTGCGAGACTTGGACATCCTAGCCGATGCACTTGATGAGAAAAGAGCGGACCATGCTACTGCGCACAACCGGCTGTCAGCCTGGAAGCAGGACGACGGGTACTTTGGTGTTTTGCGGCCAGTGGTCAGAAATGAGCACTGGTCTGCGCTCGTCCAGCAGTTTTCCGCCCCAGCCTCCGCCGCCTCGACCTCTGCCTGCCTCCGTTCTGCTTGCAACAAGGTGAACGGGAACACGTCGCCAGTGTCAGAACAGGACAGAGGCGAACTTGTGGGCGCACTCCAGGGCTCGGCTGAGCAACCGGCCGATTATGACTATCTGAATAGCGTGTTGTGCGGTCTGCAGCTGTTGGCAGAAGAAGCAAACAAGCAGCAAAAGGACTTTGTTCTGCGCGTTTGCAAAGACATTTGCGGCCGTGGTGTGTCTGCTTCAGATTTTCATGGGGATGAGGATTTGATGGAGCAGATGTTCGCGAAAGGTCACTGGGAAGTTTCGGTTGTGAAGAACGCAATTTCAGAGAGTGCAGCAGAGCAGCAACACAAGAACACGGTGCTGCAAACCTGCGAGAAGCTTGCGGCAGCGAGCAGCAAAGTTTGCCTGTGGCATGGGTTGCTGAACGCCATACTGACTTTGGCCAAGACGGCGCAGGAGCATGCGGACAATGGGTTGGATGCAAACGTCCAGAACAATTTGGTGCAGTGCTGGAGTGAGGTGAAACACCGACTGCAGACAGACCCGGAGATAGCCGCAGCAGCTCAGCCCGTCAAGGAGGCCTTGGAGAACTTGCTGAACGCCACGAAGACTGAGCAAGTGGGACCTCAGGTCTACGAAGGCGCCATGACGGAGCTCCGGCTGTCAGCCATGGAACTGCTGAGGCTTGCCAAAGAGCGCCGCAAGCCAGAAGTGCAGGAAGCTGCTAGCAACTTGCGAAAACTCGAGCATCGCTGCATGCAGTGCTGCTCGCTGTCAGACACGCCGGTCTTCGCTAGGTCTTGCGTCAGCCTTGTCACCACCGAGTTCGCCGGTGTGTGTGAGGTGTTGCCTTCCGCTGCCAGCGAGCAAATACCGGATGATATTTTGAACAGCTCGGTTATGCAGCACTTGCGAGCCGCCAATGACAAGGAGACCAACAAGCAGAAGCTGGTGCATGTGCTGCACTCTAGCGGCTGCGAGCAGTTCTTGGAGCAAGCGTCCAAGCTACTGGAAAGGCTGGAGCCACTTTTCACAGCTAAGAATCTTAAGAAGGTGTCACTTGAAAAGCTCCTCGTGGAGGCTGCTGCCAGTGCAAAAGCCAAGCTGGTTAATCCCCACATGGGCATGGATGAGTTCTTGCAGTCCGCAGCCTCTGGTGAAGCTCTCAAGAAAGCCTTGAAGCAACTGCGTGCAGCGGAAAGGGACATGCAAGGCCACGGCATGCTACAGGACGGCTCTGAGCTGCAGCGCGACGTCTCTGAAGTCAAGGCGTCTTGCCGTTTGCAGATCATCAAATGGGGAATCGTGACTTTGGTCGCCAATGCCGACATCGTGGCGGACAACAGCAAGGGGAAGGGCCTCAGGAAAACTTTGCGGGACGTCTGGAACAGTCATTGTGATGATGGTGATGTCAAGAGTGTCCTGGGGCAGGCGGTAGTGGACTTGGTAGAGCAGTCGTTGGCGACACCAGAGAAGACCGAGGACCCCGGCGCCGTTGCGCCCAAGAAGCGTGGTAAAAAAAAGTAGGTCTGCGACTGACAGCCAGCGCCACGACGACTACGAGTCACTACACGTCCGGCTGACAGCCAGCCACCTGCCAACTTTGCGCTGCAACGTCCGGCTGACAGCCAGCTCCTGCGAGCTCTGCGCTGCTGCGTCCGGCTGCCAGCCAGGCACGGCGAGTTCTGCGCTGCAGCGTAGAGAGTCTGAGTCGTTTTTGAAACTCCTCCTTTTCCTGTCGGCCCGGTTCCTAGCCCGTAGCCCCAAAGTGCGACAGCGTTCCAAGCTAGGCTAAACCGCAAAACCTCACACTCAGCCGGGCTGTCAGCAAGGGGGGTTGCCGACGTCACTGTCACTGCGAGTTGTGTGCAGAAGAAATGAGTGCCAGGGATTCATGAGTCATTCGTCATTAAATAACTTGCTTAATAGTTAATAGTAAGTAATATGAATCTGAGTATGAATATTAATATTTATATTATATTCATATTAATATTACTATTAATATACTATATTAATAATAATTATTTATCTTAAATATGAATCTGAATGAATATATAATATTTATATATCATATAATTGTGTGATTTTTAGTATTATTATTGTTATATAATATATATATATATATATAATATTATATACATATTAATTTCCGGAATTTCCGGCAAATCATGAAATTCATGAAAGCCGAATTTCCGGAATTTCCGGCAAATCCTAAAATTCATGAAATCCGAATTTCCGGAATTTCCGGCGAATCACGAAATTCATGAAATCCGAATTTCCGGAATTTCCGGAAAATCATGAAATTCATGAAAGCCGAATTTCCGGAATTTCCAGAAAATCATGAAATTCATGAAAGCCGATTTTCCGGAATTTCCGGAAAATCATGAAATTCATGAAAGCCGATTTTCCGGAATTTCCGGAAAATCATGAATTTCATGAAAGCCGATTTTCCTGAATTTCCGGAATTTCCGGAAAATCATGAAATTCATGAAAGCCGATTTTCCGGAATTTCCGGAAATTCATAGTATTGGAATGATTGGAATTATTGGAATTTCAGGAATTTCCGGAAATTCATGATATTCGAATTATCGGAATTTCAGGAATTTCCGGCAAAACGAGCAACATGAATTTCCGGATGGACGCTAAACCATCTTCCAGAAGCAAGCTCTTGGATTCACACAAGACATAGACATTGTTACATTGACATAGACATAGACTATAGACTATAGACAGTGACATAGACTATAGACTATAGACTGTAGACTGTAGACTATGACTATAGGCTATAGACTATAGACTATAGACTATAGACGGACTATAGACTATAGACTATAGACTATAGACATGTGACATAGACATTGTGACTTGAGACATTGACATAGACACATAGACGTGGAAGTGTCGTGACATGTGACATGTGACCCGACAACTCAGACGACTCTTACCCTTCCCGCCCTTCCCCAGTCCCTCTGCCCAAACCGACGGAATTTTTTGGCGCCACCCGTGCACTCGGCTTTGAGTCAAGCGCCGCGCGCCGGCAGCGTGGAGGCCTGGCTGACAGCCGAAGGCACGTTGTGAGGGAGCCGCCGAGCTGCGCTGCTGGCCGCCGTGGCAACCGTGGTTGGAGGCCTGGCTGACAGCCGAAGGACCGAAGGAGGCCTGGCTAACAGCCGAAGGCACGCTGGCACGCTTTTGCCTGGCTGACAGCCGAAGGCACCGCTGCTACTTGGTACTTCTGGCTGACAGCCGAAAGCAGAAGCACTGGCCTTGCTGACAGCAGAAACTCAGCGCCACTGCCTGTACCTTTCACCGCGATCCCTGCGTGCCTGGCTCGCGTGCGTGTCGCCCCTTTCGTCTCTGGTCTGGCGGGAGCGATCGGGGAACATGGCTCTTGAGGAGGGCCCCTGCGCGCCTGTGCCCCTGAGGTTGTGCTGACGCCGCAGGTACTCGCGCATCTCGGCACCTAGAGGACGAAATGTCTCTTATAATTCCCCGAAAGGTAACTAGTGAAAATGTGCGGCGCTGAATGTTTCTTAATTTCCTCTAGTACGACCTAACATAATTATGAGGATTTGAAATGCACTTTATTTTCCCTATTGACAAGTCACGGATTGTGAAAGAACGAAATGTCTGTTATTTTCCATCATGATATGGTATGATATATATATATATATATATACATATATATATATTTATATTTATATTTATATTTATATTTATATTGTGCAAGAACGAAATGTCTGTTATTTTCCATCATGATATGATATGATATGATATCATATGATAGGATAGGATATGATATGATATGATATATATATATATATACATATATATATATATATATAAATATTGTGAAAGAACGAAATATCTGTTATTTTCCATCATGATATATATATATATATATATATAGGTAATAGTATACATATTTGGCATGACTTGACTTGCTTTGGCATGGCATGACTTGCTTGCTGCTGCTACTACTACTACTATGCTACTGCTACTACTACTACTAGTACTAGTACTAGTACTAGTACTAGTACTACTACTACTACTACTACTACTACTACTACTACTACTAGTAGTACTACTACTACTACTACTACTAGTACTACTATGTATTTTTGACATGGTTTGACTTGCTTGGCATGGCGTGAAGTGATTGGCATGGCTTGAATTGAGTGGCATGGCTTGAAATTTGTTAGCAAGTTTGTTCGTGTGTGACGGGCAATGGATAGATGCTTTGCACGGTTTCACGCTGGGCGCGAAGCTGTGCTGGGCAGAGCCATGTCCCAGCTCGAGGCAGGCTCACTCCGTATATGGCGACGATCGCGATTTTAGGGTTATTAGGGCTTAGGGGTTTAGGGTTTACATGTAGGGTTTATAATTTCATATCAAGTTATATAGTAAGGGCTCATACAATATAGAGAGGATAATGGACAGTCCAATTAGGGTTTAGGAGTTTAGGGTTTATATGTAGGGTTTACAATTTCATATCAAGTTATATAGTAAGGGCTCGTACAATATAGAGAGGATATAATGGACAGTCCAATATATTCTGGCGCAATACTCAGATAAGTGGGCTACACAGCCGATTGTAAGGCAAAATGAAGAGCGTATGGTGCATTTCCGCGCATTACTCAGAATTACTCAGAAAGGGCGATTTGTATGAATTTACCGGGCGTTTGTAGGAATTTACCGGGCGTTTGTAGGAATTTACCGTGCGTGTGTAGGAATTTACCGTGCGTTTGTATTGGGGCGGGTTCGGGGAATTTGCGGTGCGTATTGCGGGGAATGCGGGGGGGCTAAAAAGAGCCATCTACGGCATAGGGTCAGGCCCCCTGCACCACCAATTGATCACCACCAACTGATCAGCTTGATGATATCACTTGGGATCGAAAGCAAACAAGCCAAGCCATGCCATGCCATGCCTCGTCATGCTTTAAGTATGTACATACCTACATAGTAGCAATAGGTAAAAACCTGTATAATACAGAAGACCTATATGATAGAGTGGATATAGTACATGAGTATATAATCAATTTGGGCTTTGTTGATGCCTTAATTAAGAACGGCCGCCCAGGTCGAAGCCGGGATGGTCTTGCTTCAGATCATGTTGTGAATGCCATCATGTTTGGATGTTGCCATGCTTGTTTGCTTTCGAACCCAGGTGGTATCATCAAGCTGATCAATCGGTGGTGCAGGGGGCCTGACCCTAGATGCCGTAGATGGCTCTTTTTAGCCCACCCCGCATTCCCCGCAATACGCACCCTAAATTCCCCGAACCCGCCCCCATACAAATGACCGGTAAATTCATACAAATGACCGGTAAATTCCTACAAATGACCGGTAAATTCATACAAATCGCCCTTTCTGAGTAATTCTGAGTAATGCGCGGAAATGCACCATACGCTCTTCATTTTGCCTTACAATCGGCTGTGTAGCCCACTTATCTGAGTATTGCGCCAGAATATATTGGACTGTCCATTATCCTCTCTATATTGTATGAGCCCTTACTATATAACTTGATATGAAATTGTAAACCCTACATATAAACCCTAAACCCCTAAAATCTACTCTGCCTCGTGTACAAAAGCCACGTGCTGCTTGCTTCTAGCATGTCATGCATGCACCATGTGTTGAGCTTGGCATGTCTTGCTGTTGTTGTTGTTGTTGTAGGTTTTTGGCTGCAGGCTTTAAGTAGCTAGGTAGCCCATCATGATGGAGAAAGAAATCACAGCCTTAATGAAGACAGCAAAGCTGTCCTATGAGGAGGCTAAGTTTTGCCTTACCTCCGATTCGCCAAAAAAAGAGCCTCTAGACACCAATTGTGCATAGCTGCATGCACATTCTGAGCTCATCGGCATATTGCCACCTAGGCCGAAGCTGTGGAAAGGTGCTTCGAAGCTGACACCTCCTAGGAGGATCCGAGAAAAGTCAGCCCCTCGATCGGCATCCTCGGGCGGCTCGGGGATCTGTAGATCGTGACGGTGCATGGGTATACGAAGGGCATGTTCATGAGAATTAAAAGAAGAAGAAGCAAAAGCAACCCAAAGAGGAAGAGCATGCAGTGCCAGCAACAAGCAACAAAAAGAGCAAGAAGAAGGAGAAGAAGGAAGCAAAGGAAAGCAAGGCTGCAAAGGTTCCCATGGATGAAATGGACACCCAGGAGTGGGATGCTGAGGATATGGGGCCACACCATTTTGCAAAGAAGTCTCGTCAATTGCAAGACGGCATTGGATGAGCTTGCTGAAAATGTTGCTGCAAGAATATTGCCTGCATGCATTTGCAAGTGCATCGCAACAGCTGCTGTGCCATGCCATGTTTTGATTTGTGTTGCACATGCTGTCATGCCATGCATTGCAATTAGTACTAGAATTAGAATTAAAACTATAATATTCGTAACACTAGTAGTAGTAGTAGTAGTAGTAGTAGTAGTATTAGTAGTGGTAGTAGTAGTAGTAGTAGCAGTAGTAGTAGTAGTAGCAGCAAACAAGTCATGCTATACCAAAAGCAAGTCAAGTCATGCC